ATTTGGAGACAAGTAGGAATAACAGCCTTGTTTTGCTGTTTTCCAGCTCAAACATTCCAGGCACAAATCCTCAATTAACCTGCCTAAATCCTGTCATCATCATGAGCAAGAGTTGAGGATATAATAGGAGGTTTCTTTTGCAAAGGATGATAATGATATAATGAATATTGTTGACATTCAAGCCCTTGTCATTATATTTCAGAGTTAATGTTCCTTCAGAGGTGTCTTAGTCATTCCCATCTCCCAGGATTGTGTTTTCCTGCTGTTTGAGATGGAGAGAGATAATTTGTTACCCTGGAACACTGTTGGTTTCTATTCCTGAGGGTTTCCTGGTAATGTGGAAGCAGAGCTAGTAATACAAATCTGAATTTACCACATCAGATAAAGGCTGTCACCTTGTAGGTGATGGCATCTCTAATAAATGTGGGATGTATTTTCTGGGAAATAAAGTAGTGAGTCATTTATATTCCCAGGTTTCCAGGTTTGTTTTATCATGCAGTACTTCATGAATTAGAGATGGAAATAGGAGTCATCCTGGACATCTGAGGAGTCACCAGAATAACAGCAGTACTTGCTCTGTCTCTTTGGATGGACACATTTTTCTTGATTCTGGATAAACACCAGGAGATGAATCCTAGGCTCCACAGTGTGGAGGGAGAGATGTTCCCCCTCTGTTCTGCTCAGGAGAGAGCCTACCTGGAATTGTGTGCACAGTTCTGGTGCCTCCAGAAGTGTTCATGAAGTACTGCATGATAAAATATAGGAGGGACATGGAACTCTTGGAGCAGGTCCAGAGGAGGCCATGAAGATGCTGAAGGGACTGGAGCACCTTCCCTCTGGAACCAGGCTGGGAGAGCTGGGGCTGCTCAGCCTGCAGAAGGGAAGGGTGTGTGGAGACCTCACAGCTCCTTCCAGGGCCTGAAGAGATACAGGGAAGCTGGAGAGGGACTCTGCATTGGGAACTGGGGTGCCAGGACAAGGGAGAATGACTTCCTAGTGCCAGAGGGCAGGGATGGATGGGATATTGGGAAGGAATTCTTCCCTGGGAGGGTGGGCAGGCCCTGGCACAGGGTGCCCAGAGAAGCTGTGGCTGCCCCTGGATCCCTGGAAGTGCCCAAGGCCAGGCTGGATGGGCTTGGAGCAGCCTGGGACAGTGGAAGGTGTCCCTGGCCATGGCAGGGGTGGCACTGGATGGGCTTTAAGGTCTTTCCAGCCCAAACCAGTCTGGGATTCTGGGATTCTATGAAATGGGTGAGGTAGAAATGGGCCAGCATTTGAGATGCAGAGACACTATGGCCCTGTCTTGGAATCTCTTCCATTCCTTTTGTAATTTACCTCTTTTTGTTAGTTAGTCTCCTCTTGTTTGGGTTTTTTTATTCTGGTTTGGGTTTTTTGGTCTCAGTTTCTGTGATGCCTCTGTCCCCAGTGGCCTTTGAGGGCTGTGTTGCCTCCAGCAATCACAGGTGCTGTTTCTGCTGCTTCGTGTCAGGGTAGGAGCAACCTCTGCAAGGCTGTGAAGAGCTTTCTGCCTGTAAATACATTTGCAGCTCCTTTTAAGGTCTGCTGTCATCTGGTGGCCCTTTACCTGCCAAAACTTCAGGACTCTCACCATATTTTTTATGCAAATCACTGGGGATGAGTTGTGGTGGAAAGCCTTGAGTGGGTTTGCATAGGAATATACTCTCACCTCTTTTTAGTCCTGCTGTTTTCTCCTTGGCTTTGGGACTTTCTTTAGGATTCAGGTTATATGGGAATGAACTGTTCCCTTGCTTCTCTCCAGCTCTGTACCTGTTCACTCAGGGAATGAATTTAGTCATTACCAGTGTTGGTAATGACTAAATGGGATTAAATTTATTGGGATGTCACTGGTTTCTGTTTTCAGGGTCAGGATAAATTCTACCAGGGCTGTTTTTTTGAAGCAGAACTTTCTGAAAGTTCCCCATTTTCCATACCCGCTGTTCCCGCACTTCCTAGCAAGTCTTGTACCTGTTGGTGACATATCTGGGGGTGAAATTTGGGTTAAAGTTGCCCATTTTGGTACAAAGTGATGACTGCAAAGAGGGACAGAGAGTGTCCACACCAACAGCAAGTCCTTATCCAAGGAGCTGCTTCCCACTGGCTCTGAGAGGCTCTGGGAAATTAATTCCATGCTGGAACAGTTGTGGACCCTCAAGACAGGATTTTTGTAGGAAACAGATTAAACTCTTTTTCTTTCTTGTCCATAAAGACAACATTATCTCTCTCTACAAGTTTAGTGATAAAAATGATAATTCTTCATCAGTGTTATGGTGGTATAATCCAAATTATCCAATCAGATAATTGGATTTAATGATGATGCTTTGCTTGCTAATCTTTGTGGGAATATCTGTTTAATATCTTTATCAACGATCTGGATGAGAGGGTGAAATGCACCCTCAGTCAGTTTGTGAAGAACACCAAGCCAGGTGGGGGTGTGGATGTGCTGGAGGGCAGGAAGCTCTGCAGAGGCATCAGGACAGGCTGGATCCATGGGCTGAGGTTCAGCAAGGCCAAGTGCCGGGTCCTGCCCTGGGGTCACCCCAAGCCCTGCAGCTCCAGGCTGGGGCAGAGGGGCTGGAAAGGGCCCGTCAGGAAAGGCCCTGGGGGTGCTGTGCCAGTGGCTGGACAGGAGCCCAGGGGGGCACAGGGGTCCCTGGGCTGGCCCTGCTGAGGGACCTTGAGGGCTGGGTCCAGTTCTGGGCTCTGAGAGCCCTGGAGGGGCTGGAGCGTGTCCAGGGCAGGGAACAGAGCTGGGGAAGGGGCTGGAGCCCCAGGAGGGGCTGAGGGAGCTGGGAAAGGGGCTCAGGCTGGAGCAAAGGAGGCTCAGGGGAACCTTCTGGCTCTGCACAACTCCCTGACAGGAGGGGACAGCCAGGGGGGGTCGGGCTCTGCTGCCAGGGAACAGGGACAGGACAAGGGGAAACGGCCTCAAGCTGTGCCAGGGGAGGCTCAGGTTGGACACCAGGAGGAATTTCCCCATGGCAAGGGAGCTCAGGCCTTGGCAGGGGCTGCCCAGGGAGGTTTGGAGTCCCCATGCCTGGAGGTGTCCAAGGAAGGGCTGGACGTGGCACTCAGTGCTCTGGGCTGGGGACAAGGTGGGGATGAGGCACAGCTTGGACTCCATGGGCTGGGAGGGATCTTCCAGCCTCAATTATTCCGAGATTCTGTGAATCAAATCAGTCCTCCAGAATATGGCAAAGGTGTTTCTGCCTTAGGATGTGCACAAATGAGTTCACAACATTCACAGTCATGTTTTTAGGAACACAGTTGCAAAGTCTGCCATATATCTGAAAGTAATTTTAATTTCCTTTCCTAAACAAGTTTATCTATTCTAAAATATCCTTCCAAACTAACCTGATACAAAAGTGTTGTCACACAAGAATTTTTTTGTCACGGCTTCCAATTACAGGTGTATTTCAGACTACTCTTGGAGATTCCTAAGGGGCTTTTTGGTTTGTTTGGGTTTTTTTTTTGTTTAGATCTGTTATTTCTACAAAGGAAATTAAATTGATTGGAAATTAAGCGAATCCAGCTGACAGATGTGGTTTAGAAGGATGCTATATACCTATGGACCAGTCAGAATGAAGTTGTAGCAAGCCCTCCTTAGCACATGGATGTAATGCAGGGAAGAAACAGTGATTTTTTCCTTATTAGCAATTTTAATTAACTTTTAATTGATTTCTAGCAAGATAAATGGTTTCATTACCAAGCCTTACAATGAACACCATCACTGGAATTAAGCATTCCCAGCAACTGTTCTGAAAACAAAACATGCAAATCTCTTATGATCTTCACAGATGTCATTCATAAAGGCAAATAAATGAGAATAGCTTGCTCACAGAGTGCCCTTTGTTTAATTTACATAACCTTGTTCATCATGCCCTAATTTAATTAAGAGGAGGCAAAATAACAGGTCAGCATTTCAACCTGAGAGCTCTATGAAAACCTATTAAATTTGTCCATCCCTATAATTATGTGATCACAAGAATTATTTGGCTGTCACTGAAATCTGAGGCTTGGTTCAGTATGTGAACCAACTAAAGAGATCACGATGGTTTTCTGTGGCAATCAGCAGCCTGTTATGAGCATGGAAGAATAAGAATGAAATGTGGTAATGTTTGGGTGTGAAGAACAGGATGAACAAAACAGAAATTTAAGTTCTTCAGAGAGCAGCAATGAAAATATCACTGAGTGTGACAAATGTGTTAAGAAAGAAACTTTCTAACTGATGTGTCCCTTCTGTCTGTCTGTATTGATCCTTCATCTAAATTCATATTCCATAAGTATTTGGGCAGCAATGAAACAGTACATCAGTGTTAAATAAAAATTCCTCTTAGACACCACCCAATCCTGAAGATCCTTCAGCATCAGAATTGTTTGAGGGCTTGGCTTCACAAGCATCAAATTCATTTTGTGTTGAAGTTCAGAGAATCATAAGATAGAATCCCAGAATCACTGAGGCTGGAAAAACTTCCAGGATTGAGTCCAGCCTGTGCCTGATCCCAGCCCAGAGCACTGAGTGCCACGTCCAGGCTTCCTTGGAGACCTCCAGGGATGGGGACCTCCAACCTCCCTGGGCAGCCCCTGCCAAGGCCTGAGCTCCCTTGCCATGGAGAAATTCCTCCTGGTGTCCAACCTGAGCCTCCCCTGACACAACTTCAGGCCATGTCCTCTTGTCCTATCAGAAGTTTCCAAGGCTGAGCAACTAAATGTGTCTTTTCTCCTGAAGAAATCCAGCTGGGATCCAGTTAGCCTGGCTTCTGTCACTGGGAATGGAGCCATTTGTTTCTGTGGGATGTATTATCTTCAGTCAAAGCTCAGAGAGAGGCAAGCTGCCCCTAACAAGCTCTCCTGGACACCACAGGAGAGCTTCCTGGGAGGCAGAATCCTTCCCTGCCTCACCTGGTTTCTCTCCTGTGGTTGTCTCCCTTGGGGGTTTGCAATTTGTCCATTAATCCATGTTTTTCCTGATGTCTCTTCAGGCTACAGATGCAGATGCTGGGGTCAATGGTCAAGTCCATTACAGCCTGGCAAACTTCAACAACCTTTTCCGGATCACCTCCAACGGCAGCATTTACACAGCAGTGAAACTGAACAGGGAAGTGAGGGATTACTACGAGCTCATCGTGGAGGCGACAGACGGAGCTGTGGACCCCCGGCGCTCCACGCTCACCTTGGCCATCAAGGTGCTGGATATTGATGACAACAGCCCTGTGTTTACCAACGCCTCCTACACTGTCTGCGTGCCAGAAAATCTCCCACCAGGAACTGTCTTCCTGCAGCTGGAGGTAAGGAAGCATCAGTGAGTGAAGGTGGTGTGTGTTTGTTCTGCAATATTCAGGGTTCTTATTCAACTTGGCAGTGAGACTGCAATAAAAGATTGTGAACTGGAGCGTGGGGGCAAGATTTTTGCCCAGAGCAGCTGTGGCTGCCCCTGGATCCCTGGAAGTGTCCAAGGCCAGGTTGAATGGGGCTTGGAGCAGCTTGGGATAGTGGAAGGTGTTCCTGCCTACAGCAGGGGGTGGCACTGGCTGGGCTTTGATGTCCCTTTCAACCCAAACCCTTCTGGGATTCTGTGAGTCTGAAAAATGCTTGGCCTTTAGCCAGGTACCAGAAAAACCCTTTAAAAGATAAAGTTATTTAGGAAATAATAGCAATTAATAAAAACAAATAATGAAACAGCAAAACCTACACTGCCACTGTTTAGATAGACAGATAGCAATAGGCCGAGGGGAAGAGTTTTAAACTAAAAGAGGAGAGATATAAATCAGGTGTTCGGGAGGAATTGTTACCTGGAAGGTGGTGAGGGGCTGACACAGGTTGACCAGAGAAGCTGTGGATCCCTGGAAATGTCCAAGGCCAGGCTGGATGGGGCTTGGAGCAGCCTGGGATAGTGGAAGGTGTCCCTGCCCATGGCAGGGGTGGCACTGGATGGTTTTAAGGTCCCTTCCAGCCCAAACGTTCTGGGATTCTGTGATCCTGACAGTCACCAATAGGAGGTGCCGAGGGAGGAGAACTAAGGCCAGATTGAGTTTCCACTGCCATTTCCCCAGAACATTGTGCTCGTTTCCCATGGCTCAGATCTTCAGTGAATTTCATTCCTTGTGTCTGTGCACATTGAATACAATTACAACAACACAACTAAACTCAAGATGTTTCCAACAGCTTGCCCTTTAAATCTCAGAGGAATATTTTGTGAGAATGGGTTTTGTTTGATGTTCCTCTGTTCCCTGCAGGCCAAAGACGTGGACCTGGGTGCTGATGTGAACTATAGGATCCGCACTGAGGAAGCCCAGCAGTATTTTGCCCTGGACAAGCACACAGGAGAGCTGTCACTCCGGAAGTCCTTGGATTATGAGTCCTTCTCTGACACAGAAGCAACCTTCACCTTCCTCGTGGAAGCCTTCGACAGCAAGGGCACCATGCCTCCTGGGCTGGCCACTGTCACAGTCAGAGTCAAGGTAAAGGGGTCACTCCTCAGCCAAGAACATCCTCTCCCAGTCTTGCCAGAATATTCCATCACCATGCAGGTGTCCTTAGGAAACACCAGCACTCTCTGCTCTCCTGCATCTCACTTGTAGCAGTCTTATTCTGCCGGCAGTTTGTTCAGTTAAACACACACTTTACAACAGCTGTAATTATTTTCCCATGTGCAATTACGTAGTTAAATCCTGGATTTATGAAATCAAAGAACACCTGACACAAATACAGACATTTTGTCCTTTAGAATCCCTAAAAGGCTGAAATAAACCCCTCATGGAATTGTTTGCAAAAGTGACACTGAGACACAATCACTTTCCAGCCCACAAATTGTAATTTTAAGACCAACTGGGGTGTACTGAGTGCTGGTGTGGCACAGTACATCCTGGATTCCAGATTCTGCTGCTGGAAGATCCAACTCTGCAAAGAAACAGCCTGATTTAGTGCCTAGTGCACCATGAACTGCAGTGAGCTACAGCCTCACCTCAGGATTTCAGTGGCCTCCCCAGGAATATGGGGGTGCTGGTGTCTGTTTGGGGATGATCCACAAATGATAAGTGTTTGTAGCTGAGACAGCAGCACTTCCCCATCTTCATTTGCCTGTGTCCAAGAGGAGAGGAGAGCTCAGATGCCTTCATCCTGCCCCTGGCATTCCCAAAGGTGCAGCTCTGTCAGCCATTCTGTCCTTTTGAGCAGATGCTTCAGCAGTTGTGGGAGAGAAGAGACTTTAATTGCTCAGATTTTAGCGAAGGAGCAAAAATTGCAGCAAGACCAAAAGCACAGCTCAGAAACGTTCAGTTTAAATGTGTCTGTGAAAAGTATTCATCAGTCTGGGGTTCAGCCTATTCTGTATCTGCAGGTGCTTGGATTGCCACATGGTTTTGAGTAATTTTGTTTGTCAGTCTCTACTAAGCTCACAATTCTTTTAGGACAGTAAATGTCTCCCATTATTAGCTTTGGTGACAATGCCAGAAGGCTTCTCTGATGCCTCTCTGTCTGCAAAATGTCTCAGTGTGAGGTGCAGGTCACCTGTTCCTGGATAATCTGTGCTTTTCCCCAGCAAATTCCACGTCGTTCACAGGAAGCACCTTTTCCATCATTCCCTGAATTTCTTCTGTTGGACTTTTACAGAGCAAACTGCTCAAACCTCAGGTTTTTTCCTAAAAGAAACCTTTTCCCAGCACACTGAATTTTTGAAAGAGTAGTTTGGGTAGGTTTGTTGGGGTTTTTTAAAGGTTTTCGGGTAGGATTGTGTTCAGAGAAAAGCTGTTGTCTGTTTGATTGTGTGGTTGACTGTATTAATTAATGTCAGGGAAAATTACAGTTCGGCTCGGTGGCCTCAGTTTATCAGCAGCTTGTGCACTCTCAAAGGAGGTTCTGTAGGAATAGGGAATTTAGGGAGGTGATTAATAGGATTAAAAAAATCAGTTCTTGCTCTCCTGGAAATTCTTCCCACACACGAGCAACAAAATGGGAGCGTGATGATGTTTTGGAGAGGCTGGAATACCAAGCTGGAGCCAGAACTAGCAATTTTGGAGTAAAAGTGTGCTTGGCTGGGGGCAGAACAGGGCCTGGACGGGAGGACAAGCAAGGGATACTTCTAGTGAGAAAGAAAATAAATCCAATTTAAAGTGAGCATTTTCATACTCAGTGACAGGCTGAGTTTTGCAACAGATCAGGGAACATAATCAAATATTATTTAAGTGCTGAGATGAAGATGGTGCTTAGATTCCAGCCTGGAGTGAGAAGTAGGACAGAGAACAGAGGAGGACTTTCAGAAAAAACAGACTTAATATCTCAATGTGTTGGGCAGATGTCATTAGGAGGTCTTATGTCAGGTGGCAGGTATTTTGAACACTGGTCACAAGAGGTTTCTGGATGGTTTAATTTGTGCTTAAAGATGAACTTGCCACGTACAAAAATCACAGGGGTGGGGGGAGAGGGTGGAGGGTGAAGGCAGAACCCTGTGCTGCCATTCCTGTTTTGGATGGGAAGGGTCCTCAAGACACCTCAGAAGGCTGATCCAAGAGTCAGAGCAGCAGCAGCAGGGTGCAGAATCTTGAAACCAAGTGAGAACAAGAACAGGTCTCCTTTCCCTCCCACTCAGCACCTCCTGCTCCTGCTGCAGGAACTGGATGTGTTTCCTCTGAGTACTTCCTGAGCTTTCCCTTTATTTAGAGGTTGGGCTTTGAGTAATTACTTTAATACAGGGTTTGAGAGCCCAAATAGGAACTAAACCAAGTGCAAATGCCCCACAGTCCCCAATGTAACACAAAATTGAACTAGGGGGGAAGCAGAGGCAGTGCTCAAGGGGCCAAGCTCATGTCACCATCACAGATCCAACCCCTCCAACCCTCAGAACTTTATTTGTGTTATTACTGAGGTCTCCAGCCCTCTGGGGCTCCCACTGCTCCACTCACATTTGTCATTTCTCCCAGCCCAGCTCTTCACTGCAAGCTGTAATTTTTCCTGGGTAATGGAATTCTGTTAAGCAGCTATGGATGTCTGATGGTGTTGTCCATCATTTGTGTGCTATCCAGCAGAATGAGCACACCCAGAGCCCCCTGCTCCCTGTGGCTGCAGGAGGGGGATGCACAATGGGCTATTCTTTGGACTCCCAGCCCTTGGCATGACAAGTTACAAATAGTTTGTATTAACCTGCCCTGAACTAGGTCGAGGCACAGATTGCAGAGCAGGGCTTTCATTGCAGGAGGAATAACTTCATCTGTACCCTCATGTCAGGATGAAACAAGTTATTGGCCTCTGCTGCAGCCAAAAGGCTCCTTGCATTGTAAGGACATCCTAGGACTCCCTTGGCACAGAAAGCCAAAGGTAAATCAATTAATTCATAGAATCATTTAATTGGAAATGACCTCTGAGATCACTGAGTAAAACCATTAACCCTGCACCACTAAACTGTGTCCCCAAGTGCCACATTCACACATCTTCTGAGAACTTCCACCGCTGTCTGGGCAGCCCCTTCCAATATCTGGCCACCCTTTAGGTGAAGAAATCTTTCCTAATATCCAACCTGAACCTCCCCTGGCACAGCTTGAAGTTGTTTCCTTCTGTCCTGTCGTTCCCTGGGAGAAGAACCTGACTCCCACCTGACTCCAACCCCTCTCAGGGAGTCACAGAACATTGCATCCATTTAAGTATTTCCTAGGAGGAGTAGTCTTTAAGTAGCACTGATTTCTTACCACCACCTCCAACACACCAAGATTTTTCTCTTTTTCCTGTTCTCAGATTTCTTTAACTGCTTTCTTAACTTCTCCCCTGAAGCTGCAAGAAGCCATGGGATGTCTGAAAGGGCTGAGTTTGTTTTGCTTCTTGCTGTACCCACACACATCCCCTCACAATCCAGATGATTCCCAGTACTGGAAAAAGCAAAATCCTTGCAGTTCAAATTATTAGGATTTAGCTTTTGGCAGCAACTACTGTGGTAATAGGGTTTGTTAACAGAAACAGTTGCTCTTACTTGAATAATGTGTTGCTAAACACAAATAATGAGAATTTATGTATCATGGGGCCTGTAAGGCCTCTGCATATTTTATGTTGTTTCCTCCTCTTCTTATTACCAGCATTATTTTTGTATTATTTTGCCTCTTTCTACTTTTTAGAAATGCTTTTCTCTTCTTTCTGGGTTGGGGATTGGTTTGCTTTGGAGTTTTCCGAGGACATTGTGTCGTGGAATGAAGCCATTGTCTCACGTAAAGGATTCAAAGTGAACAAGAAACAAGAATAAATAAAAAGAGGGTTTCAGTTCTAACACTGCCAAAAAAATGAGTATGAGGGGCAGTGAGGTGATTGAGAACTGGATGATCACAGGGGTCATGATCATAGTCACAGAGTGTGGTTGGTGGCTGTCACTGGGGGTGTCCCCAGGGCTCAGTACTGGGCCCAGGATCATTTAAACTGTTCATTAATGACTGGGGAGGAGCAGCCCCAGGCATCAGCACAGGCTGGAGGGTCCCTGCTGGAGCAGCTCTGTGGGGAAGGACCTGGGGGACACCGAGCTGTCCCTGAGGCAGCAGAGTGTCCTGGGGTGCTGGGGGACACCGAGCTGTCCCTGAGGCAGCAGAGTGTCCTGGGGGTGCTGGGGGACACCGAGCTGTCCCTGAGGCAGCAGAGTGTCCTGGGGGTGCTGGGGGACACCGAGCTGTCCCTGAGGCAGCAGAGTGTCCTGGGGCCAAGGAGGCCAATGGCATCCTGGGGGCAGCAGGAAGAGCCACACAATGAACATCTTCTCCCATTTAAAGAACAGAGCAGCATCACAAAACTTACAGGAAGGTTAAAAAAATAATCAGCTGGATTGCCTCCAAAATATTTCTCATTTCTGGTGACACTAATGGAATAACAGGCCTGAATTTGGGCTACAGTGCTGGTAAACAGATTTATTTCTTCTTTCCATCTCAACTGATCAGTTCAATCATCTGCCAGTCATTAATTGTCTTGTGTATTCCATCATGAATATTATCCCTTAATTTATAGGATGAGCTACTTTAGGGCCTCCTGAGCACTAAATGGGAAGGAGATGCAGTTGTGCCATGTGAGCAAGGTCCTATTCTGTGCAGCTTCAGACAAAGCCCTGTGTAAAGCAGCTCTGCACCCACTCAGACAAAATTCAAGGGGCCACTTTGGCCAAATCAGCATCATCACGAGGGTTTGAACTTGGTGTTATTAAATTGTGTTCATTATGAGAGGCCAAGAGAATACAGAAGGATGGAAAGGGACTTGAAGTTCTTGATACTCCAGTATCTGGTGGAATCAAGTATTTCATGGGATCCCAGAATGGTTTGGGTTGGAAAGGACCTTAAAACTCATCCAGTGCCACCCCTGCCCTGGGCAGGGACACCTTCCACTATCCCAGGCTGCTCCAAGCCCCAAAGTCCAGCCTGGCCTTGGACACTTCCAGGGATCCAGGGGCAGCCACAGCTGCTCTGGGCACCCTGTGCCAGGGCCTGCCCACCCTCCCAGGGAACAATTCCTTCCCAATATCCCATTTGACCCTTCCCTCTGTCATTTTGAAGCCATTCCCCTTGTCCTGTCCCTCCAGGCCCTTATAAATTACCTCTCTCCAAGGTCCTCAATCCAGTCATTGCTATCAAAGGGAATTCAGTGATGGACAGATGCAGAGATGGAGTTTTCAGCTTTTCAGCACAGAGGGAGTCTGGATAACAAATATTTGGAGCAAGTCCTGGGCTTTGTTCTGAACAGAGACCAAAGCCCCAGACATATTTTGCTTGTAAGCAGGTAAATAATTGAAGATTACATCTGATGGCTTCTTAAAACACCTCTAACCCTTGAACAGAAGTGGATGCAGCACATGGGTGCAATCCCCAAGCACAGGTTCAGCAATGGGGCAGTAAACCTTCCTCAAAGTGGTTGTAAGAAGTCATGAAATCACCCTTTAAATCTGAGGCATAATCCCACAAGTGGGGCCAAGCTGCAGCATCTTAAAACCATCCCCAGTTAATGGATTCTCCGTATTTCTCACTTTCAAATACATGGGCTGCTTATTTTGACAGTAAGGTAATAACAGCCACATATTTACAGATAACTGTATACCAGTATTTGTGTCATTATTATCTGGCTGCAGATTTATTCTATTTTTATACAGATTTATTTACAAAACAGAGCGAAAGGCAAAGCATAACACCCCCAAAGCTGTCACCCTACCATAGATACTCTTTATCTACCACTTTTTATTGGTTTTGTTCCCCCTTGCTCCCATGGGGCAGCACAAAAGCACCACAGAATCCTGACATCCCTCCCCTGAACAAAGATCAAGGATGAAGCACAAAGAAAGCACAGTTTGGGAGATATTTGGTTTAATTTTAGTGTTCTTGAGAATCCACATTTGCACCTTCAAAAGCAAGTTAAGACCTATGAAGGGATTTCTTATGCCATCTCAGTAACTCTGCTGTCACTCTCAGAATGTGCACGAATCCACTTCCCCTCCTTATTTAAATTCCTTATTTTCTGAGCAGGACACAGCTCATTCCCAAGACTTACATAGGGCTGTTATTTAGGAAAAAGATGGGTAAGAAATACAGCTCTGTCTGCAAGGAGTATGAAAATGCTGAACAAAAATGTTGGGAAGTGAGACTGTCATCTGGGAATGCCAAAGAGGAGAAACAAAGCAGGAGGGGAGGGAAGGCACTAAGGAGGAAATCAATATGTAATTTAAAACTCATTTAAAACTCACGGTTACTTGCTGTAATGCACCGATACTAGGCCAGGTGCTCCCAGACTGGTGGGGACAGGCCAAACACAGCTAGAGCAGGAGGTGCAGCATTCCTGGCTCAAAATAGCCTCAGGAATGTCACTGTACACAGGGACAGTTGAGGTTTTTTGGTTTATGGGGAAACCAGGGAACCTTTCATGCTTGTGCCCCACTAAGTTAAAAATGTAAATATTTAATACCTGGGTGTTAAACCCTCTCTTTCTCCTCCTTTACTGCTCTGGGGAAAACACTCTTAGGATTCAAATCTCTGCCCCCAGATTCCCACAGAATCATGGAACGTATGGTGTTGGAAGGGACATTAAAGCCCATCCCCTTCCACCCCTGGCCATGTCCCTGCCATGGGCAGGGACTCCTTCCACTGGACCCAGTGACATCTCCCAGTTATTAACACACAGCATTAAATGAGTGACAGACTGGTCTGATTTGAATATACCACAAACCTAAAGACGTTCTAGAGAAGAATAAACTTTAATTGGAAAAAGTGTTTTGGTAGACATCTTGTTTTTTAAAAGGAAAAATAAAAAACAGAGTTTATTTTTAAGTTCCACACAAAGAGAAGCAACTCTGAATGATCCTGCAAAATATTTCAGATATGTTTAGGTGTATGTGCAACTATATATACATACATTTATGTGTCCCTGCCTATCTCAGGCACAAGAATTTCTGCAAATGCCTTTTTGTCTTACAAAAGACATTTTATTTCCTCTTAATTTATTAGAGGTAACAAATACTACCTTTTGAAAAATGAGCCGAGCCTGCTGCCGTGGGAGCAGGTGATGTGGAATTCTCTGCTCTGTTCTCTTGTGGGGCTGTGTTTTCCTGCAGAATTCCCTTCAGCTGGGCAGTCCCACATCCATTGTTTGGTGAATCTTCTGCACCTTCCCCCCTCGTTTTGTGCAGGGGTAATGGAATGGCGAGAGCCAGGGAATGGCCATCCCTATGGAGGAATGGAGTGACTCGACAAAAACATTTGTGAATGCATCTGGAATTTTGTTGGAACTCCAGGACTAAACTCTGAATTCTGTTTTTTGCAGGATATGAACGATTACTCGCCAGTGTTCAGCCAGAAGCTCTACAGGGGAATGGTTGCTCCTGACGCAGTCAAGGGCACAGTTATCACCACGGTCTCAGCTGAGGATGAGGATCCCCCGGTAAGGAAAAACTTCTGTTAATATTCCACACCTATGAGGGAGGAAACTCGAGCCCTCAAAAGTTCCCCCACTCTCTCATGGTCTCAGACTATGAGGAGCTTCACAGAGGAGTAATTCCTACATTTGTTTCATGTCAGCCTGGCTTTGCTGTTCAGGACAGGCTGCATTTCCAAGGCTGCCTCCTGGAGCTGGAAAATCAATGCTACAGTTCCTGTCTGTTAGGGAGGCTTTAGAAAAGCTCTTTATCCAGCTTCAGAGGATGAGAGGAATAGGCAGGAAGGGGAGCTGTGCCTTTCTTTGGGGTAGTTCAAGAGGAAAGAAACCACAGTTTTGTGAGGTTTTGATGTCACAGTCACTGTGCACTTCCCAGCTGAGCCATCGCAGATTGATGTGAAACTGCAGAGCTCACCAGCTGCACATTCCGGGGCAATATTTGAACCCAGGACACCTGCTTTGGGGATAAAGTTTATTTTTGTCCCCGTTGTTTTTTGCTGCTCCCCAGTGAAGCCCTCGAGTGACAGAACTGGGCACACACCCCTGACTCATTGCCTGCTCTGGAGTTTGATGTCAATTTTTGTCATCAGTGTCTGATGAACATCAGTGACCAGATAATCCTCTGAGGACAGGAAAAGCCAGAGCTGGTCTGCCAGCCAGGTTTAATTTTTAATTGCCGGTGTTTGGCATAAGAAGGAGAGTAATCCTCAGAGGAAAGAGTTCAGGGGGAATGTGCCATGCACATTAAAAGCTGATGAAGTGCTTGGACACAATTCAGGTACAGCTTAGCTAAATGTAGTGTGATTGGGGTTTGGGCAGCTCTTATTTAACATTAAATAAATGTTGTTGCCTTACTATGAGGTATTTTGTGCTCTCTTTACCCATTCTGATAAAAGCTCCATTTTATAATCGCTGTGTCTAAGTTTTGAAGACTAAGAGATCACTGAGGGGAAACAAAATAGTTCTGATTAAGTACATTTATAATCCTTAGTCCTGTGCAATCAGCATTTCCAATGCAAAGTTATTTCATTTTTCATTTAACAACCCCAAACCCTACTGAACATTTTGTAATGTTTTTGTCGCCATCACATGAACACCTGTTGATGTTTATGGAGATTTAGAAATGAAGTTACCCTGAAGCCTCTAATAAATGCAAGGGCCATAAAAGCCATCCAGCTGTGGAGGAAAGCTTTTAAAGCAGGTTTTGAAAGGGGGTTTTATTTTAAAATAATGGCTGGTAGTTTTGTCCCTCATCTTTTTTATTTTAAAAGTAAAACTACCAGGCATAAATGACTGTGTTTCTTTTTCTGCCTGAGCCAGCCTGTGCTACTGGAAAATCTCTCTTTATTTGAAGCTGGCTTTGACATTAAATGGTGTCACAAATTATTTGATATGAATTCACTGGAAATTTGGTTTAAAAGCACACAACCTTTTCTCTGCTCAGCAAGGGGACCTTGCTCTAAACTTGCCTTAAGGGATGGAATATTCTTAGTTATCATCAGTATTTTACTTGTGTGGTTTGGGGGTTTTAAACCTGTTGGAATCTTACTTGCAGGGTACTAATACACTTATTTTATCAGTTCAGGGAAAGAAATATGTATCTATTAAAATAATAATTGTTGCTTTAAAATATGCCTGTTTATATGAGCCCAATTTGAAATTTCCAAGCTTAACTTTCCATGTTGTTATTTTGCAAGTAATACATGTAATTCCCATATCCAGAATAAAAGACCAGCCAGATTTTTCCATCATCTGCAATAAAAGCTTTTCAGACCTAATCAGCTCCTCAGAGACAAGCATTGTTTTCAACAAATCCCAACATTGTCAAATTAATGTGGATGTTGTGAGGATCCAGCTGGATCCACACAGAACCTGTGTGGGATTTATCTACAGATAAAGAAAATTTTAATTTTTCCAGGAGCAGAAGAACAGATCTGGGGGAAGGAAGAGGAGGAGGTGGGAATGGTGTCAGTGGAGGTGGGCTCTCCATTTCAAATAACAAGTATTAATTTAGGTGAAACACCAAAGGGTGAAAGATACCTGGGACATCATTTTTTTTGTGTATTTCCTAAATTATTTAGGAATTTATAGCATATAGGGGTAAAAGCGAGCTTTTACTATTAAATAAATCCAACAGAAATGTATTTATTGGAGATGGAGATGAAAATGTCTCTTGGTTTTATTTTAAAAAAAAATCCTCCCATCAAACCTTCACACAATGAGTTATTTACAACTCTGTGTATCTTCCATAGGAATGTGTATCCTCATGGACAAATCTGAGGGTGAAAATGTGGGATTTTCTTAATTTAACTGGTGCCTAATACCTTAGTCCACCATTAGAATGTACCATTGATAAGAGGATGGGTTTTGCTGCAAAAACCCCACAGATTTCTAATTTTTGCAAAGAGTTGCTCAGTTAAAACAGAAACAATTTGTGCCAGAGTCAAGCACTTCCTCAGAGATTCTTTGTAATGCTTTTATTTTGACCTGTGGATTTCAAAGTGGTCAAAACCTCCTGGCCTGAAGACATCAGAGACCTCTGATAGTTATTCTACCGATCCTTGGTGAAATGTCAATTAAAACATAAAACCCAGAGCTTTTCTCTAAAGGCCACAGCAAGATTTGCAGGGCTGTTTTGAGTAAATGTCACTTTAAATTCTTACCAGTTGCTCCTTTCTTTTCTAGTTTTAATTCTCTTTTTATTTGCAGTGACTGAGGACATAAATTATGTTTTAATAGCTACTTTTGCATGTGTTATAAATTTGAAAGACCCTTCTGGTCATTGAAATCTGGGAAGTTTTGCCTGAAAATTTTGTTTTCATGAAATCTGGTAAATTAACATTTTGTCCTTTGGTTGTTTGGAACAAACTACAGCAGATTTTTCTACATTTTTAAAGTAGTAACAATTTACATAAATACATAAATAATTTTTCAAATTACTTGGTTTAAGCATCTTAAAGTTGCTTACCCTGCCTTTCCTGGAGGAGTTTCTACCTAATTCCAGGTATAAGCAGGAAATATTAAGCAATAAGCAACAAAACCAAGCCAAAGGGAATGATGGGTCTAAAACAGAGCCATGACTGCTAAGGAAAACTTGGGAACAGCTTAAATTCTTTCTAAATAACTGATAAACCTTATAAGAATAAAATTTCTTGATTTAAAGCACATTGCAACTCAAATTGTTAAGGCAGCCGAGCACGTTTTCCATGTGAACAATCCCTTTAATTGTGAGTTCTCCCTCACGCATCAGCTTGAGCTTCCATTCCAGAGGTGGTGTCCAGCTGCAGCTTAGGGAAGTTTCCATTTATTGGGATATTTTAGTCCCTTGGAGTAGGTGAGTTTAGGCTGTTGGATACTGTGACCAGGACAACTGGTGAGCCCTGTGTAGGGAAGCTCTGCCTCCAAAACACCCCTGGAATTCCATGTAAGCAGGAGCACCCTAAGAGCCTTGGCTGGATTTGTGCTCCCAGAGCAATTCCCAGCTGGCTTTGCCCAGCTGCCCACAATGGGAACAGAAGTGGGACAAAACTAAGACAGAGAGAACTATGGGAGGGGCTGAAATGAGGTGAGCTTCAAGGTCACTATCCCAGAGTGCTCTAAGCACTCCAAAGTGCTCCAAAGTCCAACCTGGCCTTGGACACTTCCAGGGATCCAGGGGCAGCCACAGCTGCTCTGGGCACCCTGTGCCAGGGCCTGCCCACCCTCCCAGGGAACAATTCCTTCCCAATATCCCATCTATCCCTGCCCTCTGGCACTGGGAAGCCATTCCCCCTTGTTGTGGCACCCCATCCCTTGTACAGAGTCTCTCTCCATCTTTCTTGTCAGCCCCTTCAGGCCCTGGAAGGCCACAGTGAGGTCACTCTGAACCTTCTCCTCTCCAGGCTGAACAATCTGAGCTCTCCCAGTCTTTCCTCCCAGAAGAGCATCTCCATCCCACTGATCATCCTGGTGCCTCCTTTGAACTCTCTCCAACAGTTCCATGACCTCCTTATGTTGGAGGCACCAGAACTGTGCACAGAATTCCAGGTGGGAGCCCACCTGCGCAGAGTAAAGGGGGAGAAGCACATCTATGAAAATATTTCCTTTCAAGTCCTGCTTTGCTTCAGTTAAGACAAACGTGTTCAGATTTGGGTTCTCTTAGTTATTTCCCAGCCTTTTCAGGGAAAGATTCCAAAGGTTGGACAAAGCCAGTAGCTGGCTCAATCACCTGCCATCACTTCTGGATATTGCTGGCACAGTCCGCAGTCTCCCAGCCAGCACCTATTGCCGGCCATCTCCTTTATGGGCATTTAGATCATCCTTTGTAGCTGAAGAAATCATCAGCCTGGATTAGTGTTGGATAAATCCCTTGGAGACAAGGAGAGTTTTCTTCCTGGTGAACATTTTACGCACCACTGAAGTGGCCTGGTAATGAGAGATGAAGAAGTGCTTCTGAGTGGTCTCAAGCTCTTAATCCTCCTAAAATGTGGGCAGGAGAGCACCAGGAGTTGTTTGATAAATGCTCAGTTTATTTGTCAGAGGTGATTCCCAGAACTGACATAAAAAGAAGTGTTTGTTTTTCCTGTACATCCCTTTTCTGATGTGGGTTATCACTGTAAGAGCTGGGATATTTCTGCCATGGGCAATTCCCCTCCATATCCTGCCTTTTTTTAAATTTGAAATGTTAATAGAAACAGATGCAGAACACTAATTTTAATGAGCAGCCAGCTTCCAGAGCTCCAGAACGTCCCATTTAATGCTTTTTCTGTTCTCCTAGCACCTCCTGAGGTTTTCTTTCAGTGGAGCTCTTTTGTCAAATTGTGAGTAATTGTCCTTATTGTCTTCCATGCACTCACTTAAAGTAAGAGGCTATGAGATATTTATTTAAAGATTTCAGTGCATTTTAATTAGAGGTAAAACCATTTTCAGGTGGGCCAGACCTTGATCTTTTAAAAGCTCTTCATGTGGAATTTCAGTGGCTGCTGGAGGTTACAATATGGGACACATGCTGCAAATTCCAGGAGTTCTTCGAGGAATTTTAACTCAAGGCTTTAAAAGTTGATGGTTTTTTTTGTGTTCAGCTTGTGAGAGTTAAAGTTCAGAATTTCCAGCTTTAGCAATTCAGAAAATCAGGCCCTCTTGTTGAGTTACCTGCTAAAGAGTAAAATCCTTCAAATTTTAGGGTTTATGTGAATGAAATTAGGGTGAATTTACACAAGTGCGCCATTCACAACCCTGAGCAGGTGCAAGATCCACCAAATTCATCCACCTGCTCTTGGCTGTCCCATCTCCCGTGGCTGCTTTGAGTAAGTTACAAAAACCTGTTTTGTAATTTGGGGGGTTTAGCCCCACTCTCTAATTTTTTTAATTGAACTAGCTTTACAAAACTTTCCTTACTGAGCTCCTTATTATACAAATGATTCAGACTTGAGCTGAAATCTATGCATAAAGAAAATATATGGAAAGAGATCTGGGAAATAACCCTGTCTTCATGATGCTTCCATTCCATACTGGTCCTTAAGGATGAAATCCAGGCACACCTGGGATCTTCACCTGTCAACTTCAAATGAAAGTGAAATCCATTCTTCCACATTCTCTCCTGGGCCAAGAAATTCTGGGGTTTTAAGTCTGTTACCAGTTTGAATCCCAGAGTGGTTTGGATTGGGAGGGTCCTTTAACCCCATCCAGTGCCACCCCCTGCCATGGGCAGAGACACCTTCCACTATCCCAGGCTGCTCCAAGCCCCGAAGTCCAGCCTGGTCTTGGACACTTCCAGGGATCCAGGGGCAGCCACAGCTGCTCTGGGCACCCTGTGCCAGGGCCTGCCCACCCTCCCAGGGAACAATTCCTTCCCAATATCCCATCTATCCCTGCCCTCTGGCACTGGGAAGCCATTCCCTGTGTCCTGGCCCTCCATCCCTTGTCCCCAGTCTCTCTCCAGCTTTCCTGGAGCCCCTTTAGGCACCGGACAAAGCTGTAAGGTCTTCCTGGAGCCTTCTCTTCTCAAGGCTGGACATTCCAAGTTTTCCCCTCCTGTCTTCCTAGCAAAGGTGCTCCATCCTTCCTCTCCTGAATAGTGGAAGTAACAATTCCTGCTTCCTCTTGAGTTGCTTGCAGAAAAACACATTAAAACCCCCAACAAATGTGGTGTTTCCCTTTTCCCCATTTTTCCTGGCCTCATTCCATTACAGTTTTCCTGCTGGGAGCTATCTGGACAGTGCACCTGTGTGTCATGCAAGGCCCCTTTTCCACGGGCAGCTTCACCAATATTGGGGACATGCTTGTAGCTGTCACCTGTGTCAGAAATAAATGGCATTCCCCCTGAGCAAATGGAATCTTATGGAATTATGCAGCCATGGAAGAAGTAATTGGATCTGGATGAGGTGTTTTTTTTTAAGTTTCATGTTAGTTCTGAGTCTCAGGGAAACTTTAGTTGGAGAGAATGAATGTGGTTCCTGCCAAGCACAATCCTTGCTCTGTGGTTTATTTGGGAATATTATCAGCTAGATTCAAGTTTTGCTGCAGACATAATAATGCATCTAAATTAATTTAGAACAGAGGCGAAAGATGATTAATATTTCAGATAATTAAAACTTGCTTCTAAATAGATTTCCCTGGGAAATCTCTCTGGAGATTTTTCTAATTACATCAGTGCCAAAATACCATAAATAAAAAATAAATCCCGGTTTTGTTATTTTTCTGAAGTGACAGGAGCAAAGTTTACTTGATAATCACATCAGGAGCAACAAAAACGTGATGATATTTTTGTTTAGTTAATCACAAATTACCTGGTGTGGGGAGCTTTAATGATGATGAGGACTCTTTGTCTTCCAAGCAAGTTTAAGGCCATTACTCCCAGCCCAAATAGGATGGATTTCAGCAGGTAATTTGCTCTTAATTATAACATTGAAGAAAAATGACTGAAGCAGAGAATGCCTGGGGAAAGTTGATAATGAACTCTGCTATGCCATGATCCCAGAATTTTCTCACTTTTTCCAGGATTTGCCCTCTTTAGCATGTGTGAAGTGCTTTTAACTATGAACACAATCATTTATTAATTTGCTAACCACTCAAACATGCCTGGCAGACCCAGTTGGGATGATTAAATCTGCTGATAGCCACATAAACCCTGCCCAGGCTGGAATTCCTTGGAGAGCTCTAAGAGGTAGTATTCAAATGTCTTTTGTTGGATCAGCAAAACATTGATAGCATTTAGTGAGCTCAAACCACTTTTGCAGCCATTTCCACTGCTGTTTACAAAAGGAAATGCTCTGTTTCCATGTAGTTCGTGGCTGGCATGGGACATGGAATATATTCCCAATCCCAACAAAGCACATTATTGATTACAGGTGAAAATCAGCACTCCACCATTAATGATGTTTTGGCTGTTTAAACACAATATAAAGGTCGAAGCCTGATCTGAGCTCAAGACTCAGAGGCTTTCAGAAATTAAATCATGCTGTTGCTAGGACAAAAGTGTTTCTCTGAATCCATTCCCAAATATATTTAGCAAAATAATTTAGCTGGAATTTTGTAAAACGTCACAAATCTCTGTATGTGTGGATTTTTACATGCTGGAAAATCATTATTCAGACGTTAGTGTGCAAAGAGGGTTGGAGGGAATCTGTCCTACCCCTGGATGCAGAGGCAGATGAGAAATCCTAAAGGTAGCTGGGTGAAGCTACCTTTGCAAACCTTGGTTCTCATGAGGGACTTCAACCTACCAGGTGTCTGCTGGTAAAGAAGCCCTGCAGAGACAAAACCCTACAGGAGATGCAGAGAGGAAATATCCAGGAGGTCCAGTTCCCTGGAGTGTGTGGAGAGAAAAGGGCCAAAGCCCAGCTAGAACTGCTCTGGCTACAGCCATAAAAGATAATAAAAAATGTTTCCATAAATGTATCAGCAACAAGAAGTGGGCTAAGGACAATCATCATTTATTGGATGCCAGCAGGCCCAGGGCAGAGCCTGTCCACCTGTGCTGGCACCTCAAATCCTAGAGTCTATATTCTGGGTCCTCCTGGCCAGAGAGCCCTGGAGGGGCTGGAGCGTGTCCAGGGAAGGGAATGGAGCTGGGGAAGGGGCTGGAGCCCCAGGAGCAGCTGAGGGAGCTGGGAAAGTGGCTCAGCCTGGAGCAAAGGAGGCTCAGGGGAACCTTCTGGCTCTGCACAACTCCCTGACAGGAGGGGACAGCCAGGGGGGGTCGGGCTCTGCTGCCAGGGAACAGGGACAGGACAAGGGGAAACGGCCTCAAGCTGTGCCAGGGGAGGCTTAGGTTGGACACCAGGAGGAATTTCTCCATGGCAAGGGAGCTCAGGCCTTGGCAGGGGCTGCCCATGGAGGTTTGGAAGTGTTCAATAAAGATGTGGCTGGTGGCACTTGGGGACATGAGTCAGTGCTGGCCCTGGGAGCACTGGGCTAATGGCTGGACTCTGATCCCTGAGGTGTTTTCAATAATGGGATCGTTGGAAAATAATGGATGCCCTAAGAAACAACATCATTCCAGTAATTGTTATTTTTTAGGTAGGTGGTGTTAAAACTGTTCAATGGGTAAGTAGCCTTCAATTAGAAAATGCTGAGATACTGATGGGAGAAATTCCTCGCTTCAACCCTCTGGCAATGCTGCTTCTCATCCCCCTTTTGCTTTGGTGTTTCAGACAGTTTGTGACACACCCAGGGGCTGCCTGAGCTCAGTCCTTGTCACCAAAGCTGGGTCTGAACTTTGGGGAGGGCTCCTTTTGGGACTGCTTAAAATCCATCTGCAAAACAACATTTTCTTTAACCACTGATAAGTTTCTTAAACTTTAAATTAGTTTTATCCTAGTCAAAATATATTTGGAAGGTATTTTAACCAGCCTTAAGCCATGCCCATCTTCTGTTTAAAAATTTCAGTTTTTATAAAACATTTCTGGGTTTAAGTAGTTGGGGATCTGGCCCTTTTCTTTCCAAACCTCTGGTGATTTTTCTTCCTGGACCTCTCAGGAAGGTTTTTTGGGGGGAATTGAATGGGTTGCTCAGGTTTGACGAAGACAAACAGCAAGTTTTGCTTGTGATGGCCTTACCAATGTTGCATTTTAATCCTTCAGGAGGTGTGTAAAAATCCAAAAATACCCAATTTGCCTCTTTCTGCATTCCAGGGCACCCCAGCAAGTTGGGTCCGCTACAAGGTGGATGTTGTCCAGTTTCCCTACAGTGCCAGTATTTTTGATGTGGAGGAAAACTCTGGACGTGTTGTCACCCGAGTGAACCTCAATGAAGAGCCCAGCACAGTGTTCAAGGTACAAATTCAGCTGCAATGCCATAAAATGTTCCCTGAGCTTGCAGAGATTCCTTTTTGCTGTCATGGTTCTCCTTTTTTTTTTTTCTCCTCTTGCATAGAAAGATCCCAGAATCATTAAGGTTGAAAAAGACCTCAAAGATCAAGCCCAACCTTTCAGTGGGTTTCTGTGCAACATTTAAATTCTGTTTGTTCCTTTGCTTCCCTCTTTTTCTCCTGGTATATGTGTTTTGTGCCATTGTGATTTCAGGAATGTCGTGGATGGATGTAGTTGCACCTTTTGGGAGGGTGGGGAAACAGGGAGGGAGCTTGGGGAACCTTCATTTTTCCAAGTTCACCTTCAGCAGGGCTTTTGGGGAGAATCTGGGGAGAACTTTGAAAGAAGAGCAAGATATCTTGTAAATAAAGTTACTGCACAGCTGGGTAGTTCAAGAGCTCCTGTTCACACGTGTTTTAATGTAAAAACATTAATTTTAAGGAAACTTAAATTCCCATTTTGTTGTCACTGGTCCTAAGGAGTCTAGAGACAATTAGTGTGGATTAAGGTATGATTTTAACCTAAATCAGTAGAACATCTGCCCTTTAAGATCCTTGAAGGGAGTGGGTAGTAAAAAATTAAAATAGAAGTGGTTCAGTAAGGAAAAAAAATAATGTCCGTAATATCTTAGGTTTGATGTAATTTCCCTACAGTCATTAAGGTGGGTTTTTTTCTTCTTTTATTTATTTCTGAAATGAGAGTTAAAGAGAGGTTTATTTGCAAATAAACCATTATGGGGAATAAAGCTGGCCACTGTTTTCCACTCCTGAGTGTCCCATCAAGGGCTGCTTGAGCTGGAGCAGTCCCTGGTTTACGACACTGCTAATTTAAGTCCTTTTAAGTTTCTAATTAATATAATAAAACCTAATGGGGAAGAGGACTTTTTCTTGGTTAACATCACCAGAGTGGAAGTTTTCTGTGGCTGCATTTGTTGTGTTTACTTCTTAGTACTTATTTTGTGGGGCTGTTTTCCAAAACTGGGATCTATCCCACACTGCTTCATATTAGTGCAGTAAATGGGACATTCAGCCCGGAATTACTTTTCAGAAAATGTGGATTCTTAGGAAAAAAGACAGAGAAGTGATGTGTGCACTTGGAGTAGGTATTTGCTTCAAGACCACTGGGCTTGTCTCTGCTGCTGAATCCTCTAGGAATTTTTCCAGTCACTATTTAACATCTGGATAATTTCTGCAATTATATCTTGCACTGGTGACTTTCCTGATATGCTGGGTGGAAAAAAAAAAAAAAAAAGGTTATTGTGGAATAGCTTGGACTGGCAAAAATAAGTTGAAAATGCCCTATTAGAATGAGATGCAAACCTGCCTCATGTAGTGACCTCCAGAAGGAAAGGAAACTGGCAAAAAGCTATTGCTCCTTCTTCAGTGGGCTGGAGTCACATCCTTTTGCAAGCAGATTTCATGTGAAAGCTAGAAACAAATGAACCTGCTTGTGCCAGCACAAAATCATGGATTAAATCAACAAATAGACATGAGAAAAGATTTTTAAAAATCAAAATATTTATAACAGGCCTCATTAAGAGAAGGTAATTTGGTCTTGTCCGTGTTTGAGCTTGGAGCATTCCTTTTCTGCAGAGGACTTTTTGGAGGGAGGTGAGAAGTAATGTTAATTTTTTTGTTCTAACATGAGCCCTTGGTTCTAGATATTAATGTCAGCAACAGATAATTCTCATCCAGGGATTTTCCTGTTTGTTTTATTGGGAGTTACAGAATCCCAGAATCGCTGAGGTTGGGAAACCACTCCAGGATCGTTGAGTCCAACCTGTGGCCAATTCCCACCAGTGCACTGAGTGCCACATCCAGCGGTTTCTTGGACATCTCCAGGGATAGAGACTCCAGACTTCCCTGAGCAGCCCATTCCAATGTTTAACAACCCTTTTCAGGAAGAAATTCCTCCAATTCACTGTAAATTTTCCAGCAGAGATTCAACCTGAGGGTGGCTGTCACCTTTTCCCTTTGTGTTTTGTTCTTGTACAATATGTGGCTTGCAGCAAAAAGAAAATAACATCTGAATTTTGTAGACCCTGCAAATACCAGAATTGCTGGAAGTCAGGATGAAAAATGTTCTTTTGTGTAGTCAGAGCCTGATTTTCTGTGTTGTTTGTAGCTGGTGGTCATTGCCTACGATGATGGGGACCCAGTGAAGTTCAACACCACCACGGTTGAAATTGCAGTGCTGCAGCCCTCAGTCATCCCACGCTTCACACAGGATGAATACAGGTAAAGAGTTCATTCTTTCACCCTAAAACTTGTATTTTTAAAGTCAAAATAAAGTCCTGCTTGAAGGCTCGTCTGAAATAAAGCTATGAAAATACTCCTGGTGGAATTTTACTGTCTGAGCAGGTTGTCCCCAGTTGGAAAGATCTGGGCTGGTGGTGATGGTGAGGGAAGGTTTGCTTGAAATTTTTTCCCTCAGAAGTTGTTGAAAATATCAGTCATTTGGATAAACAAATCTCATGCCCTGGAATTGGGACTGGGATCACCAGGGCTCTAGGTTAAATTTCCTGGAGTGTGTTTTGACCATTTACACCGCTTTTGTGAGGCATTTCTTCATCTTCTACACCTTCTTTTACCATTTGTGTGAGACATGAGAGAACTCAAACTCAACCTCTTCAATCTTAGAAGTGCAGGTGATGGTTATTATCACCACAGAGACATGATTTTGTAAATTTACCCTCTGACAATTCAATATCATCAACCTCAGTGTCTTAAAATTGATCAAAAGCAAACAAAAAAGCAGAGCACAGGCTGATTAGTTTGTGAAGTTTTGTAACAGAGAATGTGCTCATGAATTTGGCATCTGTACAATAATAGGAAGTGATAAGATCAGGGCAAGCAGCTTCAATATATCAAGAAGTTGCAATGTGTTCTCTCTATGCCATTGCAGTGGCATAATCAGCAGCAGAATGTAGCTGGGCTTGTACAGATATTTCCATATCCAAGGACTGCAGGGAATCAGAAAGCAGAAATTGAACATAAATTGTCTTCAGAAAGCCCTAAAGGATGGGCTTGCTCAGCTATTTAAAGAGTTTAGACAAAAACTCGTTATCTGCAGTCTATTTGTCCTCATGATTGGAGTATTAGCATATTTCTCACTTATAGAAGTGAAAAATAGCAAAAACATGCCTGTCTTCTCCTAATTTTGTATTTAACTTGGAACAAATGTGAAATCTGAAGGACCAGAGCAAAATTACAAACTTTGTATTTAATAATAATCCTTTGCTGAAGGACTATTTGAGAGAGAGAAATTGGTCCTGCTGCTCCCTACAGTTTCTTAGGTATCTCCAGAGTTACGCAGTGTTTGCTGCATTACTTTGCGTAATGTAGCAAATAAAAACGTCCATTTGTGACTGGAATTTCAGATCAGGGCAGGCAGGTGTGGAGCAAGTCCAGAGAGGGCCCAGAAATTGCTGAGGGGACTGGAGCAGCTTCCCTCTGGAGCCAGGCTGGGAGAGCTGGGAATGTTCAGCCTGGAGAAGGGAAGGGGGTGTGGAGACCTCACAGCTCCTTCCAGGGCCTGAAGGGATACAGGGAAGCTGGAGAGGGGCTCTGCATTGGGAATTAGGGTGACAGGACACAGGGAATGGGTTCAGACTGCCAGAGGGCAGGGATAGATGGGATATTGGAGAGGCCCCAGCACAGGGTGCCCAGAGCAGCTGTGGCTGCCCCTGGATCCCTGGAAGTGCCCAAGGCCAGGCTGGATGGGGCTTGGAGGAGCCTGGGATAGTGGGAGGTGTCCCTGCCCATGGCAGGGGGTGGCATTGGATGAGCTTTAAGGTCCCCTCCAGCCCAAACCACTCTAGGATTGTGGGATTCCTGAGCCTGTCTTGAACTCCAGTTTTATCCCAGGAGCTGGGAATGTTATTTCACTACAGTGAAGAACTCCTGCAGTAAGAAGTGACTTGTAGCCCATAATACCTTTTGATGACAACACCTGAATAACCCAGGTTATCTTTGTGTCCCTGTGAATTCTTCAGGATTATCTGGACAGTCTGGTTTCCCTTTCCAAAGCACAGCTTTGGAAATCCTGGGAATTTCTTTTCACAGTGTTAAGAAGCTCTTAAAATCTTTAGGGGACAGCAAAGACAGTTATTTATTTTCCTCAATATCAAAAATTAAATTAAAACAATCCCAGAAGTTTCTGATTCAGCTCTGAGTCTCTCAAATATTCAGGAGCAGGACTAGTGCTGACTCCTAAGGTTTTCATAGATTGCCACACTCTGCAAGCTGTGCCTTGTGTTCGGTTTGTTGGCAATGATGAAAGCTGGAACTGGTAGGTGTCACAGGACCTCGTTTTCCAGTGACATGAGATATCTTTAGGGTGAAAGGCAGCACAGAGCTTGGAAAACGAAAAACTGTTGTGGATGTGGATGCTCGAATTCCAGATGGATTGAGAATTAGTGGCTTTAGAGTGGATTAGTATTGATCTTTGCTTGTCTAGTTATCATAATCTGGATGATTCCAGCGCTGTTCTCGAGCTGGTTTACAAACTTCCTTCCTGTGTATTTAGGGAAAGGTCACAGTTGAACAGTTTAACAGAATAAAGCTGCAGCTTGTGCTACAAAGTCAAAAATAAATACAAAATAGAGAGAGAGAGCAGATGGGATGAGCAGAAAGGGAGATGAAAGTGCCTCTCTGCCTTGAGCTGAGCTGCAGAGCCTGGCAGCTCTGCCAGAACACCAGCACTGCTTGGAGCCCTCTTCACAGCCAGGGAGGCTTTGATTGATCATTATCCGTGCCTCAGAGTGACTTCCAGAGGAGACACCAGTCAAGTGGATGAAGGCAGACTGGTATTTATTCACTGGCTCTCCCTCTGCATTATTGCATCATTTGGGGCAAATTAATTGGTCTCTTCCCCCCTACTTTCTTTGTTTGGATTGTAAATTTTTCTGGAGACTTCTAAGCACTGCTGTGCTCTCTATATTGAACAGCAAAGGGCAGCTGAGGGCTCTGAGATCCAGAAAATATAGAATAGGGCAATTGGTTTACAATAAGGCAGGGGGGAATGTATAGTTCCTTCATAATGACTATGAGAGATCCCCCCTAAAGTCCATCAGAGGGGATCTTCTGCATCCTTGGCTCCTCTGGAGGGGACTGGCAAGAGGAAGCCAGGTGAGATTTGGGATGTTTCTCATCCCGGCATTCACTCCCTCTTAGAAGCAGAGCAGCAGCAGGGCAATCTTACTCTCTTCAACTGCCTGGAAAAACAGTTGGAGCCGGGGGGGTCAGGCTCTGCTGCCAGGGAACAGGGACAGGACAAGGGGAAACGGCCTCAAGCTGTGCCAGGGGAGGCTCAGGTTGGACACCAGGAGGAATTTCTCCATGGCAGGGGTGCTCAGGCCCTAGCAGGAGCTGTCCACAGCAAGGGTGGAGTCCCCATCCTTGGGAGAGGTCAAAACAGGTGTGTGGATGTGGCACATGGAGACGTGGTTAGTGGGGAACAGGGCGCTGCTGGGTTCCCAGTTGGACACGATGGCCTTTGGGGGCTTTTCCAACCCTGATGACTCTGTGGTCAGGCCTGTATGGTCCCAGTGCTCCAGCTGGATCTTCCCTGTGGAGCCCGGGAGCCAAGCTGCATTAGCCATGTGAGTCCCTGTCTGTCCTTGCCATGGATGTTAAGGATGACTCGGAGAGAGCTGATGGTAGCAGGGCCTGACAAACAAAGCATTTTCCAAGCCAGGCATTGTTCCACAAAACCACAGTGTGGAGAAAAGAGGCAAAAATCCCAAAGAATCGAAGTGCTGGAGCATTGGAGATGGCTCGGCCACCTCAGACCTCAGCTGACCTTTGGTGCCAGGGAAGGACACGGCTGGTGCTGCTTTTGTCACCACATCTCCCTCAGGGTGTAGGCTCTAAGTTGGATTCCACTGGTTTTCTACAGAACTGATGGAAAACATGGAAACTTTCAGTGTCTCCAGCCCATGTGACAGCCTGGAGAGCTTGGAGCTTGGGTTGGTGGGGACAGAGACACTTTCTACATCCCTGCCCCAAACAGGGTGAGACAATTCACAGAATTTATTAAAGTTTTTAATGCTAGCTTTGACCTCATCCTGCTATTTGACAGCAAAATGGTCTCTGGATAAAGAACCATGGAATTCCAGAGTGGTTTGGGTTTGGGAAGGACCTTAAAGTTGGTCTCATTCCACCCCTGCCATGGACAGGGACACCTTCCCCTATCCCAGCATGCTCCAAGCCCTGTCCAGCATCCCTTGGATACTTCCAAGGAGCCACAGCTCCTTTGGACAAGCAAATAAAGAAGGTTAAAACCCAATAAACAAAATTAATCAATTTTTTGAGAAAATCAAATCTGCCATACAGAGCCCCTTTCCCAAACTGTTCTTTCTTTTGTCCTGACTTCACCCAGATCACCTCTGGATCAAGGATTTGATCCAGAAGTTTCTGTTACTTCACAACAACTTATGGCAGCACTTTCATGTCTTAATTAACAGATATTAATTAGTAGCGCTATGAAACAGTGGAGACCAGATGTAACTGAAACCTCAGATGAATATAAAGTGATGTTTTTAGCAAGCCTGTCCTCTTTATGAGCACGTCCTCAATTTAAAACAGTAAAAGTTGAAAGGGACTTGGGGTCTTTCTGGTCTTGTGTTAATTAATAAATTCCACATCCTCTGCAAGGGGAAGGTCATTGCTCATAGCAAAGTGCTGCTGGAGCAGGGAGTGGAATGGGAACCGGGAGCAGCGTCATTGCTTCCTAATTAGTGCCTGTGGTCACATTAACCAGGTGTTCAGTCATTCCAGAACAGGAAAAATGGGGAATTTTGCAAACTTACCACTTCTGTTAGTGTTGCATTACAGCTCCCCATCCTGTCAGAAAAAATGTGTCCAGTTGCCCAGCAATCCGAAGTTTTATGGGGAAATGTGGGAAGCTGTGAATTCCAAGCTATAACTCGATGTAAATGTAGTGTGGAATTTTACTTAATTTTATTTCTCTCCCAGCACCAGCACTGCTGTGGAAATGTGTTCTGCCTAAAACGGGAGATCTGGGGACACGTGGAGCTCGCTCTCCCTTGGTGGAAGAGACGTTGTAATGTTTTCCACCCAATTAAATCCTTCAATAATGGAGTCAAACACCATCCAAGCAAAAGGATTTCACAAAACAAAATAATGGAGCTGTATCAGGAGTCAGTTATTCCAACTTGTTTTCCCCAGTTCTCTCGTTTCCTGCTGTTCACTCAGACAGTTTTCCTCATTGGGAA